GCTGCCAGAGATCGGAAAACAAAAAGTGAAGAGTGGGCGTGCAGGTTATTTGAGCTTGATTCACTCACAGGAGAATGGCATTACAAGTTTGCAGAGTAAGTAATTAAAACATAAATAACAAACAGTATATGAGCATTGTTTTTTGCCTTTATTTCTAGAATTTTTACTATTGGGGTATTTTTTTTTATTAAGCCCTATCTATAAATTAATATGAGATTTTAAATTTGATGTTTCATTCATTGTAAATTTGATGCCATGATAGTGGTCTATAAAGTAAGCTCAGGATCAGAAGATTAGATATGACAATTCTTAATCTTACAGCTAGGTTCATAATTACTAATGAAAATCTAATTATAGACAACATTTTTGGAAAAGTATTTGAGTGTTTAGTTGTTAGATAAATGGTTTTTTTTTTTTCATTTATGCAGTACTAGACCGTGGGACCCACTTAATGATATGATACAGTTTGAAAAAGATGGTGTTATCCAGACCAAAGTGAAACATCGCACTCCAATGGTATGTAATAAAAAAGTAACAAGATCTGCTAGGCATATGAACCCATAGTATCTTTGGCAGCCAATGTTTAAAATTTAACTTCAAAACTTAAAATGTTGAGTCAGCAAAATGGCAGAATAGGCAGCTCCAAGCTCTTTTCCCTTCAAAGAAACAAAACAGCAAGCAGGAGCTGTCAGAACCAAATTTGCCAAAACTATGGAAAATAGTCAGGTTTGCAGCAACAGAGTGAATAATGAATCAAGAGAGAAGTGACTTCAAAGCAGTTATTTTTACTTGCCCTTGCCCCAACTCATCACTGATGCACTGGTTGTCTTAAGGGCCCCCACATTCTCAATGAGAGCCCTGGCTCCAGAGGGAACAGAGTAGATCTTATTCACAAATTGTGTACGTCTATTTTAACCTGTCTAGGGGCTACTTTAAGTATGCTGACAGGGCAGGCATTTCTGTTTTTGCTGATAACTCAGAGCCCAGGCAGAAAGGCTGCAGGCATTTCTTGGAAGTGCTATGAACCATACTGACATCCTGCACACACTTGGGGCAAAAGACTATCGTTGAAACAATACAATAGACTGTGTAAGGCCTAGGAACAAAAGCTGGGGAGAGATTGTTTGGAAAACTGGGGCATCAGGGATTTTAGAAAACCAAATGTCCAAGGTAAGGTGCTTATGCTCAGAAAAGAACAGTGAAAGAACACTGAGCTAACACCTAAGCTCAGTGCAAGTCTGGCTTAGTGCCCCTACACTGAACAGTCTGCTAAGAGTGGGAGAGTATTTTTTTGTTTTCGTTTTTGTCTTTTGTTTTGGTTTATTTGGCTACTGGTGTTCAAGGAAGTTTCTGTCAAAATGCTAACCGAACATAAGCTAAGGAACAGAAATTTCAGTAACCATGAACAACATTACAGTCTTTGCAGAAATAGTTTAGGAACTTCTGTGAACAAATGGAGTACTATAGCTTTCATCAATCCAGGAAACAGAAAAACCCTGGGGAAGGTGGAGAATCTGATTTCCAGAGTTACCACATTATCACACTCAGATGTCCAGGGTTTTCCATGAAGAATTACAAGGCATAGAAAGAGCATGAAAGCATGACCCATTAAAAGGAACAAAATAAATTGACAGAAACCATCCCTGATGAAATCTAGACACGAGACTTAGCAGACAAGGACTTCAAAAACAGTTGTCTTAAATGTGTCCAAAGAGTTAAATGAAACAGGAACAAAGAACAAAAGAAAATCAAGAAAAAGATACATAAACAAAATTAGGATATCAACAAAGAGAAAATATATAAAGGAACCAAACAACTTCTGGGGTTCAAAAATACAATAACTAAAGTGAAAAAGAGGTTACTGTTGACTATAGGGAAGAGGGAATGGGAAGTCATTGCTTAATTGTTAACAGTCTTTCTTTGGGATGAGGAAAATGTTTTGGAAGTAGCTGTGATATTTACACAATATTGTGAATCTACTTAATACTACTGAATTGTACACTTAAAAATGGCTAAATTATTACAATTTAGAAATTTTAAAACATTTTAAAATTTTGTTTCTTCTTTCAACAACACTAACATGGTAGAGACAGACAGGGCTTCTGTATTTCCTCCTAAAAGTAGAGTTTACCGATGACAGTAAATCTTTGCATACAGAGACATAGCTTATTGACTCCCTTTGTTGTCTTAAATACTTCTCACCAGTCTTCATCAATCTCCAATTTGAACCTACTCTAAGGTGGATTTGGATTCTAATGTAACAGTGTTCAGTCTCTATGCCTTGAAGTAAGAGGGCATAATACAGGTTGAATCCAGAACTTAACTGCTCATTGTTTATTTTCTATAATAAAATTATAGAAATTTTATTTTAATTTCAATCTTTTGAATAAAATTTTGTAAAAGAATAGGTAATAGAGGATAATTCCTATTTAGAATAGTAAACAGGTCTGAATAGAGTTAAAGACTTACGATGACTGGTTCCCTCTTTCTAAGCATGTAAATTACCTTACCCTTCTAATTCTAGTTTCTCCTCTTGAATTTGAATTTTTATATTTAGGATTGACCTTCAGAATTGCAAGCCTATTAATAGGGTAGACTCTGAAGTATATTATTTTAAGAAAAATTTAGTCCTAGTTGAACATTTAATATACTTCTGAATCTTGTGCATGCATTCAAATGCTTTCTGTAGGTTTAAATCATGCTCTGCCAAATAATATTTTTATTTATTATAAGATGCTTTCTGCAATATCCAGATATTATTAAAAGTAAATAAATAATTTTATTGGAAACCCAACATCATCCAATGGGAATGTTTCTAATGTTGGGAATAAGATAAGTATGACTGAAAAAGGTACTGACTGGTGCAATTAGAAGCTTGGCTGGGGGGGGGGGGGGCGTCTGTATTCACATTTGTACATAAAATTGTCTTTTGAAGGATATACAAACTAATAGCAGTATCTATTTTGTGATGGAGATACTGCATTGCTAGTAGAGGTCAGGAGTGAAGGGAAACTCTTCATTGTATATATTTTCTTGTTTATGCTGAATTAATGTTTCCTATTAAGATTAAATGATTGTATAAGTGTTACCACCTCTTGTTAGGTTTTAATTAGACTATTTCATCTTTGTTTTTATTTCAGTATACTTAAAGTGCCCATGAACTGATAGTTTTGACAGTTTTACAACATTGGTATTTAATTACAAAACTCATTGCAAATTCACATTATAGTTTGGGCTTTTTCTTCAGGTTAGTGTCCCAAAAATGAAACATAAGCCAACCAGGCAACAGAAGAAAGTGGCAAAAGGCTATTCTTCCCCAGAACCTGATATCCAAGACTCATCTGGAAGTGAAGGTAAAAATGTTTACTGCAGACTATTCACTATAAGCGTCTAAACTTTTAAAAGGATATTACTGTATTATGTTTAATGTATAAAAAGCATTTTTCATATTAACTCAAGATAATTTGGGAGTTTTGGTGGGGACAGAGATGGTGTGCCTAAAAAGCAGTTTTAGATTATAGACAAATTGCAAGACCAGGCCACAAGGGAAAGGTGAGGGAAAACATGCAAATCAAGAACCACATTGTAGTACTAGTTCTTTTTACATCTTGTTAGCTCCTGAAAAGTTGTTGATGGTTTCCTAGATTCAATGCAGGGACCAGTTTTTGAGCTTTGAACTCAGTTCCATGCTTCAAAAAAATTTTTCACTTTTAGATTAAATTATTGTAGTGTTTATAAGCCACAGACAAGTAAAAATATATCAAAATTATTAACTAGATTAACTAGTTTGCTATTCTTGTACAAGCCAGATAATGTGTAAAATGTCTTGAAATACACTGACATATAATCAAGAAAGGATTAAAGTAATGAATGTCTGAGAAAATACAGTTTTTTAAAGCCATAGTTCTCTACTAAGCTCACTCTAAGCTGGGAGCTTATTTTTACAGAGATGACAGTAGAAGTGAATAAATGATAAATGCCGGGAAATGAGTAGGTAACAAATAATAGTTTAAAGCAGAGGGAGCTGAATTCACTTTGAGGGCAGTTTTTAAAAGAACCCTGATGAATTATTAGGATTTCTAATGGATTACAGCAGTCTAAGCTTGAGGGATGTGGGTGGGATCAAGATACTGCAGTCAAAAAGGAATAAAAGTTTAAAAGTAGGAGTCATATGGAACCAATGTGCTAGACGGGGAATATTAGTTATGCTGTTTTGTTCCCATTTTACAGAAAAGGAAATTGAGATACAGGTTAACCTACACAAGGTCACATATCCCATAAGACAGTATATATACATGTAATATATGAAGATATTTTGGCTCCTTAATTCACTCTCTTATCCACTGCACTATTTACCTGTAATTTATAAGGTAAATAACACTTAATGTGTGCCAAGCTAGATGTTTAAAATACCATGACACAACCATGTGGAGTTTGAGTAGTATTATCCCTGTTTTACAAATGAGAACCAAAATGAACAAAAATGGAAAGGAAGGAATGATATGAGAGGTTTTAAGGTAGTAAAAAAAAAAAAAAAAAAAAAAAATTTACTGGTTGAAGGTAAAAATTTGTAGAAGAGGTAGCAAAAACAACTGAAAAGGCTTAAAATTGGGGTGACCAGGGAAATAAAGATAACAATTAATAAAACACTGAAAAGGGAACTTAAGAAGCTGACTTCTTCAGAAGTAAGCAAATGGACAAGAGACACGAGAATAATACCTTCCCCCAAATTAATATATGTATTTTTAATGAACTGTTTGTTGTCTATTTCATTTAGTTAAAAAAAATGAAACTGATGCCACAAAAAAAAATTCAACTAATGATTGGAACTTTAAAAATGCAGAGTATTGGGGTGCCTGGGTGGCTCAGTCAGTTAAGCGTCTGACTTCAGCTCGGGTCATAATCTCATGGCTCGTGGGTTTGAGTCCTGCATCAGGCTCTGTGCTGACAGCTCAGAGCCTGAAGCCTGCTTCAGATTCTGTCTCTCTCTCCACCCCTCTCCCCCACCCCCTCAAAACTAAACATTTTTTTAAAAATGCAGAGTATTACTATTATTATGTTACATTCTAAGCCATAAAAATAATGCCTAGGAAAAAATTTATTATATAAGGCTCATTAAGCTGAAATGTAAATTGTTTATAATTAAATGTGTTTGCTATTTTCATCAACTTTATTCCAAATGTCTTTTTAGCTCAATCAGTAAAACCAAATACAAGAAGAAAGAAAGGGATAGAACTGGGAGACATTCAAAATTCCATCGAATCTATAAAACAAACGCAGGAAGAAATTAAAAGGTAATATATATGGACAGTGGCTATTTAAGTCTAGAGAGGTAGTTAAGAATCTGTTATGTAGGAAATCATATGCAAACTTTACATTTTTATAACGTTGAGCTATTAAGATAGATTGGCTTCTGTCGCCTGACGACTGCAACTTGTGAAATTCCATCACCATTCAAATATTGGGGGAGAGTGGTGATTTCTCCTCTGTGATTATACAAGTGGAATCTCTTTATCTTATTGCTGTAGCATACCTAGAAATGTAGGTGTGTTGGATGTGGTAGAGGGGTGGTTTCTGAGAAAGTTGGCTAGCAAAGGTTTCTGCAGTCCCTTTGTACCTGGCTAATCTTTAATAGGAGTGCATCATGTGTTGACATATTGAAATGCTTCCATAGCAAGGGGTAAATAACCACCACCCTGAGACCTTTGAGGGCTCTTTTTGTAGTCCCAGACCCTTCCTCACACATTCCTCCCCAGATCCAGCAACAAAAAATCATTAACACTTAGGAAGGTTCCTTGAAGGGGGCACCTGAGTGGCTCAGTCAGTTAAGTGGGCTCAGGTCATGATCTCACAGTTCATGAGATCGAGCCCTACATTGAGCTCTGTACTGACATCCCAGAGCCTGCTTGGGACTCCCTGTCTCCCTCTCTCTCTGCCCCTCCCACCTCATTCATATTCTCTCTCTCTTTCTCTCTCTCTCAAAAATAAATAAATAAACATTAAAAAAAAAAAAAAAAAAAAGAAAATTCCTTGGAGGAGAACTCCTGTTTCTTTCTGCCCCATTGCTAAGGCTAGTAGGAGTGTAGATTGGTTTCCTCCCATTACTATATTAGAGGATTAAAAAAAAAAAGATTTTCTCAGTTCTTAGTGATCTTACAGCTTACATTTAGTTGTTTTTTTCATTTATAGCCTTATCTCCTGCCATTCCCCTGTACCTGTCCCATGCTCCAGTTCTGTGAAACTCCTTACAGCTCCAGAATATACTGTACTGTCTCATCTTTGGAACTTTGACCGCACTGAATCCACTTTTTAGACTGTTCTTACTCCCACCCTGCCCATCAAGAAAATCCCTGTTTATCCTTCAGAATATAATTCAAATGCCACCCTTTTTGTAACATTTCTAATTACCCACATTGCCCTGTAGAGTTAGTAATCCCTGCACTGTCCTTGTACAGTTCCCTATGCATGCTACTTTTGAGCGTTTATTGGATTACAGAGTTGTTATTGTGTGTCTGTTTACCACACGACCACCACCCCCTCCCGCAACTGGACAATGAGCTCCTTTAGAGGAGGGAACATGTCTTCTGCATCTTGATATCATCAGCCCTTATATAAAATGCTCATTTCCTAGTTTAATTATCTTTATAAATTAATGAGCCTACTTGTTCATTTGCCTCCTTTCTTTCTCTATACTGGTATACCAGTGTAGAAGTCAAGGGGGGCGGAATGAAATCAGCTTTTTTGTTTGTTTGTTTGTTTTTTAGCCAAAAGCATTTAGGATGGCATGAGGATAATGTAAGCTCATTTAATGACTAAATTAACATTTTATTTTCGTTAGTATATGAAATGCCTATATAGCATTTTTCAAATTAGCAATGTCATGAAATCTGTTGTATTATGTTTTCTTAGAGAATTTAGAATTTTTCTCCAAATCTACTTCTGTCTTCCCCAAAGTAAAGATAAAAGAACTTTACTAGACCAACTAAGAAACACAATTTTTGTTTTAAAACCACTGTGATAACAGAGAAAAGTGGTATATTTTTATATCCTCTAACTTTAATAATTCTGTTTGATGAACATCATCAAGTAATATATTTGATACAATGTGGAATGTAGATTTAGACAAGACCTAATAACGGCTTCACGTAACATAATCAGCTTCCTGTTGATGTTGTAGTAGTAATTGATTAAACAAGTTACCTTAGATAATGTAATTAAATGTTCTCTTAACTAAGACTTTACTAATTAAGTCTCACGTATCAAATTGTGATTTATATGCTAACATTTTGACAAATAATTTTAAAATTTATTGTTTTTTATCTTTGTAGAAATATTATGGCTCTTCGAAATCATTTAGTTTCAAGCACACCTGCCACAGATTATTTTCTGCAACAAAAAGACTACTTCATCATTTTCCTCCTGATTTTGCTTCAAGTCATAATAAACTTCATGTTTAAGTAGAAGTTCCTTACAGTTGAATCAATGAACTGGAATGATCAAATTTGGCCTGGGACCAATGTTCAAGTTGGTTTGGTCTTTGTTAAAATGTCACAATATTTCTAAAACAAAAATCTTAGAGATAAATGTAGAGGTGTTGACCTTTCATACCTTTTTTCCTTAACCTGAAATAAGAACTCTTGGTCATTAAAGTGAGCTATGTGTTAAGTGCCAGAACATTTCTAGCTTTTGTGACAGTGTGTTTACATGTGAGTATAATAAGTCCACATGTATACACAATTGTGTCTTATGTATACCTGACAGTAGTCTTTGTATTCTATAGTGTGTTCTGAGATATAACATTAACATTCGTAACAAAAATGCTATCAATCTTATAAAATATATACATAGCAATCTATTTTCTTCATACAACAGGCACAAGACTTTTATCAATAAGGAATTACAGAATGGGAAATGATGGCATAATAGACATATTATAAATAGTTCAAAACACTGTCCTGTTAGAAATATCATTTCCAAAGCACCCAGCTCAATTGTGTTCTTAGAAACAGCAAGAAAAAAGTGTAGTTGAAATTGGTGTACTGAGAGAGACAAGGTGGCAGATTGCTTTTTTAAAGGTTTACACACAGTTTTTTTAACCCCTAGAATTTTAATATTTATAGAGACAGGTATAAATCTGTGTGTGTGTTTATCGACATAAAAAACCGATATGCAGCTATTTGGATCTATTGATTATATCTTTCTTATACCTATATAATACCACCTTAAGCACTTGCTTAAAAAATTGTGGTCAAAATTGCTGTCCTTTTTTCTTATTTTTGTTTCTTGTAACCCTGTTGGTCCAGTAGCATAGGCCAAATTCTAGAGTTGTTTATAGGGTATATGATAATTCATGTTTTTCATTATGAAAAACTTATTTTAGCTTTCGTTTAGAACTTAGTGTATTCAGTGAGTAAATAGAATAGAAAAAATTATAACCAATATTTTACTTCAAAAGCCAAATAAGAGAAAGGCAGTAAGAAAAACTTTGTGTCGTAGCATTTATGTGTACATTAAAATTTATTTCTTTAAAATGTGCAATAAGTTGAGCATCTAAGAAGAGCATCAAGTTCTGAGGTTTAATTCTTTATTCCTCTGTTCTCAGTAACTTCATTCTGTGACAAACCACACTTCAAGATTTTTTTTGTTCAGACTCAGGCACACTTTTTCCTAATTTTTTTTCAGGTTAATATTTTAATGTTTGTCATAAATATTTATAGCCCTCAGAAGCAATTTTTGCAAATGTAGCTAAGTTTAGGAACATGTTGTCCTAAGATATGTCTTAGAATCCTGAAAGTATACCTTTTGGAATGGTTATTAATGAAAAGTCAGAATAATTATTCTGGCTACATTTGCCTTTGACTAAGAAGAGACTGTGAGACACTAGCAAAATTACAATCAACTGTTTATGCCAAGATATATACAGTCAAGGAATGATTGCTAAATTACAAAAATTGAAAGTGATAAAGAGCCTGCTTTTTTTCTCCCTTACCAATTTAGCTATCTTAATAGTCTTCGGTTTTAAGAAGAGCCATATAGTTTGGGCAAAATAATGCTGTATTCCATATGTACATGTGAAAGCACTTTTTTTAATTGACTGAAATATAAATAAGATGTACCTATACCTGGTATAAGTATAGATATGTCTACACTAGAACAGGTGAGATTTGTTTGTATTTCATACTTGTGTCGTTTTTGTCCTCACTCTCTGTTACCAATGTCATGCTCAACTGCCTATTGATTGATATATGATATTTTGTAAATATTGTACAATTTGATCCTTTTTATGGTTTCAATTAGTATTTATATATAAGTTGATTGGCTGATCACAAAAATAATTTCATCATTAAACCCTGAAAACTTAAAATTTTTTGCTGATAACCCCCTTTTGGGGTTTTAGTCCTACCCACTTGTGTGTTCTTTTCATTTGGTCGAAATAGTGTTTTATTTGTATAGGTATCTTCTAAGACTGGGAAGGTAGTTATGTTCTTTATGTTTTTCTTTTTAGAGCAGATGTTTTGGGTTCTTATTACTCAAGGAGTCAAAAACTTTCATGAAAAAGAGCAGGGTTACTCATGACTGTTTCTTATACACTGAAAGCATACATCTAATCTAATAGTCTTCTTATGCTTTTAGTTGTATGAGTTCCTTTCTGTGAACTGAACACAAAACTCAGGAATTGGTGGCTTAGTTTTTAGATCAGTGGTTATACTAGGCTTAGTATGTGAATCCTTTAAGACACGTAATTAACTTTGTATGTAGCCATATATGTAATTGACTTTGAATGTTCCCTACCTGAGATTAATACTCCTTCAAACATGGATTCATAAAAATTGTGATTTACAGTTCCCAGTTGTTTGAGAGCCTCATGATGGTTTCCAGGATTTAAGATCTTATGACCACTTTTTTTTTCATTTGATCAAAAATTTTATTTTTTCACATGAAAATTTACATGAGTAATAATTATCGACATGTGCATTTGTTTTAGTTATGCAATGTACTATGCCTTCAATTATCCACCATTTAATGAGGTGTAGCTGGCCCAGGAACAGATAATAAATAGGGCATGTGAAATAAGTAAGTTTCAGCAATAGCTATTTCACTTGTATTTCATGTCAGTACTTTTTTGCATCACTTTTATAAAGGTACAGTGTAATCTTTGTCACCATTCCATTGAAAAAGTTGGCCTTGTAAAATACAACACTCATTTAGTATTCACGCTTTTGTGCCTTTAATAAACTACTTTTTGTTATTTTTGTGTTACAGAACTACAATATGATTCTAAGTGTTTATAGGCTTAACTGCCATAAAGGGTCATTTCTCTGTGTCATTTTATTTCCTTTTATATAGCTATAGTATATTTAAACAGTAATGCTGTACTTTTATAAGGGTTTGTCTATTTAACTATTTCAAGTATATTCTTCACTCTCAGACATCATTGAAGTAGATTTGTCAGATTATTCTGAGTATTGTAAACAGTGCCTTTTTGATGGAATTCACACTGTTTTGGGTGTCAACTTGTGCCATACTACACATAAAATTCTGTGGAAGGCAGTTTTAACTTTTTGAAGAATATCTTAGTCAACTATTTAAGAAAACAAAATTCCATTTTTTCCGGTGTTTAGCATTTCTAACGAGCAATGAATATATTTTTGAGTTTTTTTTTTTTTTGGTTGATATACGGTGATGACGGCAAAATTGATGAGCCATACCTGATGCTGTAGATGATTTTGAATTATGTTAAATGTACAGAAATAAAATACTAATATTAGCATTTATACCAAATTTTCCAATTTGAACCAGTAAGGGGTAACACCACACAAATCACTGAGTTTACATTTCAGCTTCTATTTCATGTGACTACATGGATAAAGAAATTCTTTAAAATGTATAACCTGCCACTATTGTGTCATTTGACTTTATGTAATTTGACTTGATTTTGTTTACGTATAGTGTGTGAATTTAGTATATTTAAGTTACTTTTTGTTAATCTTTAATATACTGTTTGTTTGGTTACAGTTTTTAATTGAAGATGGACTGTTAAAATCGTATAGGACCAGTGTCTCCTTAATATGATTAACATATTTAGAAGAGCCACAAGAAACCCATGACAAAATGAATGTGAACATACTTTCTAAAATGTTTAGAAAATTTTATCTTTTTGCATTTATCATGTAAAATTATTTAGTATTACAATATTGATGTTTATTTAAAGAAAAATGCCATGAAACATTTGAATTGATGAGCCACAGAATTACTTCAGTTGAAAATTTTTTCACTTTTTAGCATGCTAAATATACATTTAAGTTAAATATCCTGTTTAATAGCCATTTATAAATTCAGACACTACCACTGGTCAGTTTTGTATAATAGAGTAAAAAGTGTGTTATCTGCAGTGTAAGTACAGCACACTGTCACATCCTTTCCCTAAGGTGCATAGTAGATGTACAGATAGTCATAGGCAACTGTTTTGTAATGTATTACATTTCTAATCTATTATTCCTAACCTATTATAAATGTTTGCAGAGACAAAAGAATTGAATTTTTCTAATCTGTAAAATTATGCTAACTTCTACAGGTAGGCATTCTGAATAAAATTCTAAAAAGAGTAAACTGTGATCAAATGACTTTGAATATAACATATAGTGACTGAATTACTTCATCCTAATTTTTAAATTGAAAAAAAAGATCTTTTTTTGTAGGGGTAGTTGTGAAGGAGGGTGAAGGGCTGGGAAGGGATTTAATAGTTAGAATCCCTACTGTATGCTTTCCTTGGTGCTTTATATTCATTCTTCTTAACTACTCATAATAACCTTAAGCTAAGTGGAAGTTAGCCCGACTTTATAGATGAAGAGTCTGAGACTCAGAGAAGTTAAATGACTCCAAAAGCTATACAGTAAAAGTGATAGCAAGCATAAGTTTGAATCTATGTCTGACATCAATATCCACTCTCCTTCCACTGTACGCTTAAGTAGAACTCTGATGGTAGCACTTTTAAATGTTTAGATTAATCCACTGCTTCAATCAGTATACTATAGCTATATCCACTGCTGCTTTGTGATGGGTAGAACCAAAAAAAATGTTACCATTAAACAAGTATATATACAAAACCTATATAGAAGTTTTTTCTCCCTCCCCCCCCCCGCCCCTCAAATCACTTACTAGTCCATACTGAGTCAACATCAGGTGAGTTCCAAATCATTCCTGCCTGGTTTTCCTCTCTTTTCCTCTGTCCTTCTCCCCTTCCATTTTTGCTCTCTCCTCAGAATCCACTTGCTTCTGGCTAATAGTTGGTTCTGTCTTACTAATTGGGGGGAATGGAAAGGAGGGCATTACAGATTTTCCCTAGCCTATGTATAGGAATGAGAGGAAAGGAGAACAGCCCCTCATTCTTCAACCTCAATGAAAAAGCTGCAAGATAAGTAATTTTGTTACTAATATTGACTGCACTGTAATAGGCGTCCTGTGTTGTGCTATCACCCTAATTGGCTCTTCTGCAATTTACAAAATACCCTTTTCTTGTAGAGAGAGTGGGTCAATACGCGACTGAATATCACAGTTATGGGGGGGGGAGGGTGCTGTAAATAATCGCTGAGTGCTTAATATATGCCAGGCACCATAAAAAAAAAAAAAAAGCTCTTTGCAAACATTCTCACTCGTGAGGTTTTCTTTTATATACTACTATCTTTTTTTTTTTTAACTGGAGATGGAAGAGGTTACTTACTGAATGTCGCAGATAAGTGTCATCGCAAACCCAGGTGTATGTTCTTTCTGCCTGTTTTCTTCTGCAGTTGTACCCAACAATCTTAGGCCACTGTGCTTTCTTTAATTTTTTTTTTTAAACAGTTATTTATTTTTGAGACAGAGCATGAACAGGGGAGGGTCAGAGACAGAGGGAGACACAGAATCTGAAACAGGCTCCAGGCTCTGAGCTGTCAGCACAGAGCCCTACGCGGGGCTTGAACCCACGGACCCTGAGATCATGACCTGAGCCGAAGTCGGACACTTAACCGACTGAGCCACCCAGGCGCCCCTGTGCTTTATGTGCTTTAAAGGCATACTAGTGATCACTAGTGTAGCTAAGTCTTCCCATCTATCCCTTCTGCTAAAGAAAAAAATAAGTTGTGGTGGCTGGGGGACTTAAAGTGATATCCACGTCAAGGAAATCTGGCAAAGCCCCCTGCGGAAAGCATGAAGCCTGCAGCTCGTGACCGTGAAGGCCAGGGCTTTGCCCATCCGTCCTGCATCCCGAGCCGGCCTCTGTGATGGGAAGAAAAGCAACTGATGATACTGTGGACAGAATATTCATGAGTCCAACGCGGAGGTTTTGTCAGGGGTGGGGCACGAGCCCAGGTCCTCCCGCGGTGCCCATTCCCTCCTTCACATACGCTCCCCAGGCGTGCCGACTTCCAGAGAGGAAGGACGTTTCCTGGGAGACGGAAGAGATTTGGTGGCAGCTGAAGCCGCTGCAGGGAATGAATTTACCCAGGGAACCGGGAAAGGGCCAGCAGTTTCCGCTCCAGGAACAGCTAGCTCCCGGGAAGTCTTGACCTCTTTCCTAGCTTCGCGAGCTATTGGAACGCTAGTCCCAGGTGGCCGAACAGCAGGCTACTCCGCTAGTGGGTCATAGGGGGGAGTGAGCCGAGCTGGGCCAGCTGACAGCCCCCTCCCCGCCCCTTCCGCTTCCGTGGGGCTCCTCCCTCCTTCTGGTGGTGCTAGGGCTTTGCCGCCGGCGGCCGGAAGCCACGCGGCTCTTACGCCCTATGGCCGCCGCGGGGTCCGCAAAGGTGGCGTTGCGGGTGGCGGAAGTGCTGGAGACCATCGTGAGCTGCTGCGTGGGACCCGAGGGGCGGCAAGTTCTGTGTACGAAGCCCACCGGCGAGGTGCTGATCAGTCGGGATGGAGGCTGCCTTCTGGAGGCGCTACACTTAGAACATCCCATAGCCAGGTACCCGTGTCCCGCGTTCCAGCTCGTTATAGTGTCCCTTAGCCAGGTACTGTTGTCCCATTCTCCTGCCCAGAGCCGGGCACCGCAGGCTATCTCCTGACCCTTCCTTAGAATGTACTATTGGGAAGACTGACCTCGGGTGAGACTATTGTATGCTCAGGGTTCGAGCGGTGTGCAATGGAATGTTCTTGGGGACGTCAAATCTTACCAAACTTCCAAGAACATTTATTCCCCCTCCTCCCTGCCCCACCTAACCCCAGAATCTTGAAATAGAACAAAGTAACTTGAAAAAAAGGAAAAAGTAATACTAAAGACATCAAAAGGACAGTATTATTTTATGCCTTTACCTGTGAAGCCATGGTTTCGACTTGATTTATTTGTAAGAAGGCAGCCCGCTGAAATTCTGAGTTGCTTTATTTCTTTTTTTGTACAGGATGATGGTAGCCTGTGTTTCCAGTCATCTAAGAAAAACAGGAGATGGTGCTAAAACATTTATTATCTTTCTTTGTCACTTACTCAGAGGACTTCATGCAGTAACAGACAAAGAACAGGATTCTTTGATTTCCAAAAATATTCAAACCCATAGAAGGCATTGGAAAAATTGTTGTCAGTGGAAATTTATTTCTCAGGCTCTTCTGAAGTTTCAGACACAAGTATTAGATTATATTATGGGCCACTACTTAAGCAAACACTTTTTGTCCATCTTTTCTTCATCCACTAAAGAGAGAACATTGTGTAGAAGCTCTTTAGAGTTGCTCTTAGAAGCATACTTTTGTGGAAGAGTGGGAAGAAATAATCAAAAATTTATTTCACAATTGATGTGTGACTACTTTTTCAAGTGTATGGCTTGTGAAAGTGGATGTGAAGAAGTATTTGAGTTAGTGGATGACTATTTTATAGAGTTGAACGTTGGTGTCACTGGCCTTCCTGTCTCAGATTCCAGGATCATAGCTGGACTTGTGCTTCATAGAGACTTTTCTGTATACTGTCCAGCAGATGGTGACATAAGAATAGTGATAGTAACAGAGACTATTCAGCCTCCTTTTTCAACTTCTGGATCAGAGTTTATTTTAAATTCAGAAGCACAGTTTCGGACATCTCAGTTTTGGATTATGGAAAGGACAAAAGCAATCATGAAACATTTACAGAGTCAGAATGTAAAATTGCTGCTGTCTAGTGTGAAACAACCAGATTTAGTTATTTATTATGCAGGACTGAATGGCATATCTGTCGTGGAGTGTTTATCCTCTGAAGAAGTATCTCTTATCCAGAGGGTTGTTGGTCTTTCTCCCTTTGTATTGCCACATACCTCTTCGCGGTATGAAACCTGTAACACTGCTTTGATGAATTTTTGTAAGCCCCTTATCCTTAGATCCAAAAGGTATGTTCATCTTGGCTTGATTGGCACATGTTCGTTTATACCACACTGTATAGTACTTTGTGCACCAGTGCAGGGTCTTGTGGAACAGCATAAAAGTGCTTTACATGGAGCATTTAAAATGCTTCGGCAGTTATTTAAAGACCTTGATCTAAATTACATGATACAAGCCAGTGATCAAAATTATGCATCAAGTCCTCTTACCTACAAGAATAGCAGAGAAAGTACGCCATTGCCAGAAATTGTTAATGGTTCAATGCAAAGCCCATATCAGGGCACAGTTGTAGAGAACAAAGGTAAGCTGGCAACAACTCAAACATATTTAAAAGTATATTCAAATTTTGTAGTTCCAAGTGTAGAATTAGAAACACATATTCCACGTTCAATACCAAAAGTGACACCAACAGATACATACCAGACAGATGAAACATTGAGATATTTATCTCTAGCCAGGATAGTTGATGACAGTGAACCATTTATGGAGAGTAATTCTGCTAATTCAACAACAGAAAACACTAGAATAGAAATTTCTTGTGAAAATTTACAAGTCACAGAAATTGCTGGAAGGGGAAGCATGTTAGCAGTGAGAGAGAAGTCACTGGAGATGTGTACATCCCGCGGTTACTGCTTCTCATCTATACCAGCAGGTTGTGTTTTGCCAGTGGGTGGTAATTTTGAGTTTTTGTTACATTACTATCTTCTTAACTACGCCAAAAAATGTCACCATTCAGAAGAAACTATGGTCAGCGTGATAATAGCTAATGCTCTTTTAGGCATTCCCCAAATCCTGTATAAGTCTAAGAAGGGAAACTATAGCTTTCCACAAATATATGTAAGAACTCTCCATGCGATACAAACCCATCAACCCATGGTAAGCAGTCAGACAGGTTTGGAATCGGTAGCTAGTAAATACCAATTACTAACTTCCGTTCTTCAATGTTTAACAAAAATTTTAACCATTGATTTGGTAATCAATATTAAGAGACAACCTCAGGAAGTTTATGATCAAGATTCAGAGGAGGAAGTATAAAATTGGAAGTTTTTTTATTAACCAAAATTTTAACCCAACTCAAGCCATAAAGTAAAAAATGTGACCACTGATTCTCAAATCAATTTGGTCTAGTTAGGAAAACATCAAAACTTAAAAAAAATCTTTAGAAGAACTACAGTAAGAGGCTAGCAGACATTCAGACCAAATATTAGACAACATTCTGGAACTGTTCTGAGGAGGAACCCTTCCACATGAGGGAAGCCAAGATATGACTGTGTGTCTTTCTTCCCCTTAAATTTCCCTGTGTCTCAGCTCTGTGTTAGTCCGTGTATATGCGAGAGGGTGTTCCTTTATAGTCCTTCTTACTTTTCTGTACATTTTTTCACTCTCTTCATCTGTCCTCCTTGCCTTTCTGTATTTATTTAGTTCATAGGATTATTTAATCTGAGATTTGGATAAGGTCTTCAAATGTCATCCTATTCTAATTGTTTATAATATTAAACATTATTTGCTTCATTTAAAATAATGTATTTTCTCTATTCCTAATTTCTAAAAAGCAATGAATAAAAAGTCTTGATTTCTTTTCTCAAGAAGCATATAAACTAAATTAGTTTTTACTTTTATATATCCCCTTATTTATTTCTGTTTTATGTGGAAAAGCCTGGATATATTTTTTCCACTGTCCATACACCACTGAATAATATGTAACTAGAAATATGACTTTGTGCATTGCAAACTTACTTTCATTTCTGTAGTTAAAAGTTAATTTCAGAAAGCTTATGAAATTCATACTGTATTTTCTCCTGTTCTCTAAGAGCTTGTAAAAATAATTCACGTATTTGCTGGTTTTTCTTATATTTGGTGCATAGCCAGAGTTCATTTGTAATAAAGAATTTGAAAATTATTTCTAATGTGAATTTCATATATTTATATTTTATTATAAAGGTTTATAAGTGCAAATGATGTGCATCTAGCCGTAGATAAGGACAGTGTCCTCTACTTTTAATAGTTCTCTGTAACACCCAAAATACCACTATGTTTATACCAAGTATTCAGAAGTGCCTGTTGAATAAAACTGTTACCTTAATCCGTTCTCTTAAGTACATGTTTCCAACTTATGAAGTCAACAAATTCTTTTTTTTTTTTTTTAATGTTTTTATTTATTTTCAAGAGACAGAGAGAAACAGAGCACAAGTGGGGAAGGGGCAGAGAGAGAGGGAGACAGAATCTGAAGCAGGCTCCAGGCTCCGAGCTATCAGCACAGAGCCAGATGCGAGGCTTGAACTCAGGAACCACGAGATCATGACCTGAGCTGAAGTTGGTCACTTAGCCCACTGAGCCATGCAGGCACCTCACAAAGTCAACAAATTCTTAATGAGTGCTTTTCATGTGCCAAATGCGGACTCCACTGTGGTAAACTGTAGTTCCTGCCTCCATACCCCTTTCCTGAAAAGGTAATGACACTATGTTGGATTGATATTGAATTTAGGAAACCTGATTTAAAAATTTTAATTACAGTAAAACTTGAAAAAGCGATGACTAAGAACATATTAAACTAACATCTTGCAGTATCTCATGATCTTTTAAATTAACTGTAATTTCATTTTTTTAAGGTTTATGCCATATGATAGCATTATTTCATTTCTGAGATGGAGAGAGTAAATTAATTCTGTTTCTTGTATTGAATTCATAGATGTATGAACCTACTGTAATATTGCTGTACAATTTTTTCCATTCACTTTTTAAATTGCCTGTTAGATCATTAGATAGTTTTACTTTATTTTATTGTTGCTATTTTAAATACACCGTCATTGAAGGCATTCAAAGGCTTTTCTAGCCGTGCCCAGACATATGTCCTTGCCCAGACATATGTCCTTGCATATGGTAGGCATTTTATAGCTATAAATAATCAGGAGTCCAGAAGCCCCTTTGTAAGCTGGGCCTGGGTCTTTGTATGTTTGGCACCTGGTCTAATATCTGGCACACAATAGTAGCCAATAAATGTCTGTTGAAGAACTATTTGTTGACTGAATCAGTCATTTGATCCTCATAGATGAGGTCATAATTATTTCTGTCAAAGATTCATGGGAAAGAATCTGTTTTGGGGGAGAAAGAGCAGAAAATGTAGAACAGGTCTACACGAAGCAATCTTTTTTCTTTTAAATCTCTTCTAATCTCTTTAAAAAAATATCCCTCAAAAATGGTGATAGAGCTTTCATGGGTTATCTTTATCGTTTAACAGAATAACACCAGGGAGTTTACATCACTGGGTTAGACAGGAGAGCACTTTTAAAAATGTAGTTACATTGTATTTAAACCCTCTTCCACAAAGAATTTGAGATGGCCTGCCTGCAACAAGAGCAGACAAAATTACTGTAAAATCTGAATATAAATTAAAGAATCAAGACCAAAGAAAATATAAAAGATGAAGTCAAGCCCATGTTCCTATTTTCTGTTGCTGCATGGTGAATAACTTAAAACTAACTAGATTTGAACTACTATATTATTGCCTCCCATGGTTGTGGGGGTTACCCAACCTTAGCTGGACAGCTTCCACTGTATTCTGTTGGTTCAGGCAATCACAAAGTTCAGCTGAAGTTCAAGGAGAGGGAACACAGGCCCCACCACTCAATGGCAAGAGTGTCAATGTCACATTATTAGAAGATCATGTGGGATGAGATATGTTGAGGCAGCTATCTTTGGAAAATACAATCTGCCACACCATGGAAGGGAGAAAAGGACAAATACGTGCTAACTTCTCAACTGGGATTTTTATTATTGTGTCCTGAAGTTACATGACCCCTTCCCACAAATGCATTTCCCTGATAACTTTTGTGAACCTCCTGATTTTTTTCCACTGGGCCAGCACAAGCTATTTTTATCCCCTAAACAATAGGCATTAGATTGTTGAATAGCCCTAACTCTTTGAAGCCAGGGGAACTATTTAATCACTTTACACTGGAAGTGGAGTGGCATGGTGTCCATGTGTCACGCTAGGGGAGGGAAGAGGAATGCAATTGCAGCCTGAACTTTCATCAGATACTACTTACCCCCTCTCAAAAGGAATAGAATATGTCTTTCCCATCATCACAGCGCAGCAGAGAAAACAAAAACTACAGCTCAGGAGCCATCTATCTGTTTGTCTATCATGTTATAGTTATTCCTTGCATCTTTGTAAGAAAGAGATTGGTGACAATCTAAACTCTAAGTGGATACACAAACTAAAAGGGGTAGGGGCAGTAATTTGGGGGGGACAGGCATAGGGAAGAGGTAGAAAGGTAATTTCTCAGTATGCCACTATGTGCTGGTTATTACAAATTTTGTTTTCCCAGCCAGCCTCTTCTCTGAAGCCTCGGCTCACTCACTGAACTGCCAACCTAGTCTCTACTTGGAGACTCACCCTTAACTTGTCCAAAACAGGATTGCTATTTCCCATCCCCTAAACCTGGTTCTCTCCCTGCTGTCCTGTCGTAAGTTAATGGTATCCACCACCTGTCCACAATGCTCAGGACAAAACCTGAAGAGACAACTTGACTCTAAACTTCACATCCCACAGCCAGTCTATCAGCAAATCCTCTGGTTCCACATATAAAATAGATTTCAGATCCTCACAATTGTTGGTGTGGCCCAAATCACCTCATCTCTGACCTGCAGCAGCCTCCTACAGTCTTTGTTTCTGTCTCATCTTGTACTTCTCTTGAGTTATTTCCCCCCAATTTTTTTATTGAAAATTTTTTATTTATTTTTAAAACTCTGTTTAATGTTTATTTATTTTTGAGAGACAGAGAGAGACAGAGCACAAGTAGGGAAGGAGCAGAGAGAGAGGGAGACAGAATCTGAAGCAGGCTGCAGGACAGAGCCTGATGCAAGGCTCGAACTCATGAACCATAAGATCATGACCTGAGCCGAAGTTGGCACTTAACCGACTGAGCCACCCAGGCGCCCTGATTTAAAAATTTTTAAATCCACAAAAATGTTGAAAAAACCATACAATGAACACCTACATACCCTTCATCTAGATTTTCCAACTGCCATTTTACCCCTTTGTCCATGTGCACATGCACATACATGCAAACACACGTTTTACTAAACCATACGGAACATACTGAAGGTAAGTTGAGGACATTATACTCTATCCCTAAATACCTCACTATGTATTTCCCATGAATAAGCATGAATAAGGACTTCCCCTACATGACTGCATGATTCTTTTTTTTTTTTTTTTTTTTTGAGGTAGGAAGGGGCAGATGGAGAGGGAGAGAATCCCAAGCAGGCTCCATCCTCAGCACACAGCCCAACGTGGGGCTTGATCCCATGACTGTGAGATCATGACCTGAGCTGAAATCAAGAGTCAGATGCTTAACTAACTGAGCCACCCAGATGCTCCCAATGATTCTTTTAAAATGCAAGTCGTTATGTCATTCTCCAGCTTGAAGCTCTCCAAAGAGTTTTCTTTCATGCAGAATGAAATCCAAATGTATCATAATCTACAAGGCTCCACATGATCTGCCCACCGCTTATCCTTTAGATGACATCTCCTACCTCTCTCCCTCTAGCTTTCTTCCATCAGTTACGCTGACTATATCAACTAGGACAGGTTATGCTATACTGAGGCAAAAACTCCAAATCTCAGAGGCTTGGCACAATACAATTTGTTTCTTGCTCACATTTATGTCTATTAGGGGTCAGCTGGGAACTTTGCCCCCATTGTTTTCTTCCTCATTCTTAGATTCTGGTTGATGGAGCAGTCACTGTCTGAAGTATTTCCAATCATCATGCCAGAAAGAGAAAAAAGAGTTGTAGACAGCCTTGCATTCACCCTGTCCATTAAATGGCACATGTCATTTCTGCTCATGATTTGCTGTCTAAAATAAGTCATATGGTCCTACCTATGCACAGAAGAACTAGCTAATGCAATCTTACCTTGTACCTAGAAGGAGAGAGAACCAGCACATTTGGCAAATAGCACTAATGGGTACCCAAACTGGCCTTTCTGTTCTTTGAACATACAAATTCATTCCAACCTCTGAGCTTTCTACTTGCTGTTGTGTTTACTTAGAACTCTCTTCCCCACTAATCTTTATATGGCTCATTTTCTTATTTAATTCAAGAATCTCTGCCTTAGGGTCACCTGTTCAGATGCGCCTTTCTTGGCCTTTTAATCTAAAATAATGCCATTTCCTTCCTCATCACTGCCCTCATTCACAGTCTTCCTACCTTCTTAAGCTTTTTTTCAGACCACAGACTTTATGTTATTGGTATGTGTGTTTATTTTTTTGTATTGACTGCCTTCCCCACTAGAATGTAGACTCCATAAGGACTTTGACTTCTTTACTTCCATATTTCCAGCATTTAGGATAATGCCTGACCGGGTAGGCTCTTGATAAAGTTCAGTTAATGAATGAATAAGAGTGGACCATTTAAAAGACTAAGGCTTCCTCCTCCTGAACAATGATCAAATAGACCCAACCAGCATTTGCCTCAATGACCATTTTTGTTTGTGTTCAAAGCCGCCTAAATTCTGATGGACGACGGTGTTTTCATAAAACACTAAATCATCACAAAGCCCTGCTGGCCTGGAAGCCATTCTGTTCCCTCCAAGTGACTTAGCATGTCTCCGTTCCGAACAATCATTTATTCATTTTAAAGAGTAGACCACGGGGTGCCTAACGGTTCTATCGGTTAAGCATCTGACTCTTGATTTCCGCTCAAGTCATGATCTCACCGTGTGTGAGATTGAGCCCCACATCAAGCTCTGTGCTAATGGCACAGAACCTGCTTAGGATTCTCTCTCTCCCTCTCTCTCTGCCCCTCCCCCGCTCTCTTTCTCTGTCTCAAAATAAATAAACATAAAAAAATAAATAAGTAAAATAAAGAGTAGGTTTCAGTAGGAAATTTTATTTCCAAGTCAGTGTCAAAAGCCTCAGCAGCATGGATTGATGACATACCGTGTTACG